CCTTGGTATGGCTGCAGTTTATTGTTGCATTATTATTCTTGTTTTTCCATAGCAAACGAGATCTGGGTGACATCACTCCCATGAGATCAACCTGTGTGTAATGGTAAAAGTTATCATGTGAATGTGTTAATTTTCACAAGCATTCAAGATTATTTGCCATAATAAAGCTCTTGAATGAATTTAAATTATACATTCAAGTTGAAAACATAAATTATATTAATATGGATTTACATTATACATGTTTTTTAATTACCTGATACCCTCAGCAGTCTTGTTTCTTTGTGATCAAGTTCTCAGTGTTCTGTTGGAACAAAACTATTAGAGATGGTTACATGAGGAATTTCAGGTGGGAGTGTTACTCAATAAAATTCAATCACATGGCAGAAGCTCAGTTGGATTAAGCATGTTGACCTGGTTGTGACAAACTGCTGAAGTTCAAATCAATCAGCATCAGAATGGGAAAGAAAAGTGACTTTGAACAAACTGTCTTACTATCTTAAACTGGTTTCTTGAATATCACAAAGAGCTGACTGTACTAAAATGACCTCCACAGTCACCAGACTTCAGTCCCATAGAGAACATTTGGGATGGAGTGGAAAAGGAAATTTGCATCTCGAATGTGCAGCTGAATGTTTTTTGCAATTTCCATTAAGCTGATTTTCCCTTTGCACATTGAGGTATCCTAGATACTGTAGATCCTGAAAGAAGTTAGCTGTGAGGTGCTCAGGAACCTTAAGGCTTTTTTTGGTGTGTTAGGCAGATAAAAGAAAGGGTTTTTGTACTGACTTTACAGTGAACTGCAGCACTGTGCTGACTGGCAGCACAGAAATACACTGCACTGTCATTTAACTTTAGATTATAGATGGTGAGGGCTGACTTTTCACGGCCATCTCCATCAAAGCTGATATTTCCACTCAGATTGTTTTCTTTTTTTGCCACCTGGATGTTGAGATTTCCCACAATCTCCAAAGTTTGATGTTGGTCTTGTTTGTACCAGAGAATGACCTGATAATTTGGTATGCTATGTCAACATTTGATTTCACTTTGAACAGATTCACCAATTCTCCTAATGATGGAAGGAGGTGTTTGGTAGACACTTTTTTGCATCACCTGTGTAAAAGCAAACAAGAGTTTAAACACAGAAATCATTAAATTTGAATTGTATTGTTATCATTGTTATTTTCCTACCTGTAATTCCTGGAAAGTGAAGAAAACAAAGTATACAGACCACAACGATCATCTTAAACAATTCAAGCTAGCGATCCTTTCAGTATAGTTGGTTCACCAGCTGTAGATGAGAATAGATCGCTGTTACCAGATGATGACCGTAGGAGGTGTGAGGAGTTGTCTACTTCATTGCTTTAACTAGAAGAGAAAAGTGCTGTCCTCATACGACAGTCTGTGCAAGTGATTATTTCATTTATTGAGGTCTGTCTCCACCTACTGTGGTAAGGGCACTGCAAATGAAGTAGATTATGGCACACTCAAAGTTAACATGACCAGAAGTGGACACTTTAACTATCATATATTAAAGCATTTACAATTTTAAACACTTGCTAATTATTTCTCTTTCATAGATTTAAGGCACAAATATCATACATTT